GACTTGAACTTCAGTATTCTCAACACACACAATTTCAAGGTCAACATTTCTGAAAATGATGATTGAGGTTACAAAGAAAGTATTGTCTGAACAAGGCATTCAGACACAGGGTTTTGTAACATTTCCAAGTCAGTTTGCAAGCCCTTACAGCGAGTACTGAAGGTACGAGAAGGGAAGACACTAATTTCATGAAATTGACACTCAAAGTCAGTTATGTGTGGCTATAAACATCTCACTGTGAACTGGGATATTTTACTTGTCTGATTTTTAATAAATACCACCTTTAGAATTAGCACTCAAGAGTCAGGAAAATACATTTTCACTTTGGATAACATGCTCTGTACCTCGCAATCTTAGATTAATTATTGACAAGTAAAGACAGCGTCCACTTTTTGCTGATTGGCTAATAAAGTGGGCGCTGTCCTGAGTAAAAGGTCATCTCAGGTCAGCTTTAGTTGTTTTTTAAAAATAATTAGTGAATTAGTGTTTGTAGCCACATGTAACTGACAGTAATACTAACTTAGAAACGAGACAAGACCATGTGCATTCAGGTGGGCACTGAGGCAATTGTTCCCATGGCCTCTTATTTTCAGCCCTGCAGCAATATTAATTAGTTCATCAACATCTATGTAATCATAGTTCTGTTCATTTCAGCACCATTTCTATGTGGGTATGTGGTTATTGGTATTATGACCAGTAGGGCATGAATTTCTGTATGGTGAAAAGACCCAATTTTAAAGCCAAAATATCTGAAAATGCTTGAGACTGATTGAAATTACAAATAAAGTATTGATGGGCATCAAGTCATTGAGGTGAGTTTTCAGATCTGTAATAGCATGTTCTAAAGATGCAAATGCAACTATTTCAATATAAACAATTAGATCTCATCATTGACTATATTAAAGACTGACTAGTGATATGAGATATATAAATGACTCTTACCCATTAACCTGTGAACATCTTGGTGGACTAGTTCTCTGTCTATTCACCTCTACTGGTAGATTATGTTGTTGTTTTGGTGATGAAAGTACAGAGCCTGTATTTTCATACCTAAAAATGAGCCATGAAGTAATCACAAAATTAAGATATGTTTTTAATTCTCTAGCTGGTGATGGAGCAGACTTTTTAGGTGAAAAAGGTTGCCATCATCGCAAAAAAACGTTTTGAAATTCAATGGCATCTCTTATGAGGAAACAGTCATGAAAATGAATTCTTCCTGTCAACCAAATTAGCCAGCACAATCTCACAAATAACTTGTCATAAAACCAAACAGTCCTTCCTATCTTGGAATCAACACTGGCACACACGTAGTACGCAATCAGAAAATTTGAAAAATAGGGTAAAATACAGGAAGTCAAAGTTGCTCTATTAGTGACACATGCACTTTACATAAATTACTAACTTAAAATATTTCTATATTCTGAAATAGGTAATATTTTAATGATTCAGATAATGGACAACAAGTTTGAGTTATTATGCTTTTCTGAATAAGGACAAATACAGTATTCATCTGAGTGAAATATATTCTTACATGGCAAAGTTTGGTAATGAAAGTTACATGAAAAAAAAAAACCCTTGTAATAATATTTTGGAAATAAGAGCTTTGTGAGTTATAGATAACATAAATAAATAAATACAGTGTTCAGCATGAAAGAAAAAATTGAAAAAAATTTATGAAAGATGAATTGATTTCTAACTGTGTATTAAGATGTATTAAACAGTTTTAAGTATCGCCTTAAGGGGAAGATCAACTTTTTCATTCATTGTTTATCACAATCTGTTACTTTTTAAAAAGTCACAGATGGTGTGCCACGCCTTTATCGCTTTCACTATGATGAGATCCATTGTTTATTTATATGCATTCACTATGATGAATGTTGTGCTTTAAGTATGAAATCAACTCTATTTATTGGATTGAAGCACTCTTACCTTTCTAGTGGATTTTTCATAGATTCTGTTGTGTACCTGGTGTCTGGTAGATTGGTAGGTGATCTGTACGGTGACGTACCCACAGATCTATCTGTGTATAGGGGTGAAGTGTTCGAGAGATTGCGAGGTGATCTCAACGGTGACGTATCCGGTTGTTGACTAGATCGGTATGGTGACGTGTCCAGTACATTACGAGGTGATCTGGGCGACATATTTTGTAGATGACCGGGTGATCTATACGGTGATGTACCAATATCCACCTTGTGTCGGTCAGCGATAGGAGACCTGCTTGCTAAGAGATCTGAAAATAACAGTTAAAAACAAAATTAAATGGTTTTATTTTAAACACAAAATATGGAAAAGTTATTGAGCCTAGACCAGATTTAAAGCTGTATTGTTCTTAATATTTGTGCCATACACCAAATTCACAAGATACGAGTCAGAAGTTTGTAGAAAACAGTTTAACACTGATACCATA